TCTTTTTTTGAGACGGAGTCTCGCTCTGTTGCCCATGCTGGAGTGCAGTGACGTGATCTTGGCTCACTGCAACCTCCGCCTCCCGGGTTCACGCCATTCTCCTGCCTCAGCCTCCTGAGTAGCTGGGACTACAGACGCTTGCCACCACGCCTGGCTAATTTTTTGTATTTTTTAGTAGAGACAGGGTTTCACCGTGTTCGCCAGGATGGTCTCGATCTCCTGACCTCGTGATCCGCCTGCCTCAGCCTCCTAAAGTGCTGGGATTGCAGGCGTAAGCCACCGCGCCTGGCCAGCTCTGTGTTCTTTGAAGCAGTTAATGAATTTAGTTTCTCACAGCAGCTTTTGTTAGCATTAGGTCTGTACTTGTATTTTGTTTGCATTTGTAAAGCATTTAAGTTTTTTCTATTTCCTCTATCAGATTGTAAATTCTTCAAGATCACAAAGAGGAGAAGTGTTTTTTGTAGGTATTCATAATGCCTAGTAAAGGTTTTGCTGTTAATAGTTGCTAAAAAAAATACTGCCAACTGGTTTGGCTAGCTAGCGGTACTGAAGCCTTGATGTTGTATTCTTTCCAGGTGCACTGTATTAGTACAGAGTTCACTATGAGGAAACATGGTGGAGAAAAGGGGGTGCCATTCCGAGTACAAATAGATACCTTCAAGGAGAATGAAAACGGGGAATATACTGAGCACTTACACTCGGCCAGCTGCCAGATCAAAGTTTTCAAGGTATTCCTGAGCAATGTGCTGGCCTTTGGATTCTTTTACCTTATCATTCTATGTTAACATTAGTTACCCAGTCAGAAAATCAACTTGTCTTATTTTTTTGAAAACTCAAAAAAAAAAAAAGTCTAAGCTAGAGTCATTGAAATAATTACCAAGATGCCTGGTAAAGAAATTTACATGGAGATGGTCATAGGATAATAGGAACTTGGAAAAGAGGGCTAGAGGCAAGAACATGGATTCTCATTGAAAGCTCTTAAAGCCTATTGAAGTTACAAGCTCATGTAAAGTTCACAAAAATTGACTATTTTTGGTTACATTCATACTTGATCTTTTCTTATTTGGTCCTTATTTATTTGTTTTTGAGACTGGGTCTCATTTTGTCACCCAGGCTGGAGTGCAGTGACGCAATCATAGCTCAACCTTCTGGGCTCAATCAATCCTTCTGCCTCAGCTTCCCCAGTAAGTCAGACTATAGGCATGTGCCACCACACCGGGCTAATTTTTGTATTTTTTGTAGAGAGGGGGTCTTGCTGTGTTGCCCAGGCTGGTCTTGAACTCCTGGTCATAAGTGATCTGCCCACCTTGGCCTCCCAAAGTACTGGGATTACAGGTGTGAGCCACTGTGCCCCAGCCAGGGTCCTATTTATTTTTATTACATGGATAAATATGTTCTCATTGTAAGAGATTGAATAATACAGAAGTATTCAGAGCAACATTGAAATTCTCCCTTTACTGCTCTGATGCTGACCCCCCTGACAACCTCTTCCCAGAGGAAACCACTGTCATAATTTCGTAATTTCATATGTATTCGTCTAGTTCCCTCTTCTTTTTCTTTTTCTTTTTGAGTCGGAGTTTCACTCTGTCGCCCAGGCTCTAGTGCAGTGGTGCAATCTCAGCTCACTGCCACCTCCATCTCCTGGGTTCAAGCGATTCTCATACCTCAGCCTCCCCAGTACCTGGGACTACAGGCACACACACCATGCCCAGCTAATTTTTTGTATTTTTAATGGAGACAGGGTTTCGCCACGTTGGCCAGGCTGGTCTCGAACTCCTGAGCTCAGGCAATCCGTCTGCCTTGGCCTCCCAAAGTGCTGTGATTACAGGCGTGAGCCACTGCGCCCAGCTCTTCTAGTTCCTTTCTATACTTTTATACACATACACACATAGCTATATACATATTTTCTTTGACACATAAATGGGATTATACGATCTGAAATGTTTTGAGCCTTGATTTTTTTCAGTTAACTATGTGCTTTAGAGATCTTTCCATGTCCGTAGCTATAGATCGGATTCTTTTCAACTCCCATCAAGCAGAAACATTTAAATTTCCTATTTTCAAACTTAAAAGTGATGTGTCTTGCCTTTACATCACTGCACATACCATTTTGTTTCATACGTGAATATTTAAGTTTTTAGAAGCAATATTGTTGGGTCAAAAGGTGAGTACCTGAATTTAAAACAAAATGTTTCTCATTTCAGCCCAAAGGTGCAGACAGAAAGCAAAAAACCGATAGGGAAAAAATGGAGAAACGAACACCTCATGAAAAGGAGAAATATCAACCTTCCTATGAGACAACCATACTCACAGAGGTAAAAAGATTTCTTTTGGTGACAATTTCAGTTCATAATTTTTAATCTTAAAAATTCATCACTTCCAAACTGGTCAAAATTTTCTTTTCCTAAGCAACGTTCTCTCTCTCGCTCGCTGTTTTTTTTTTTTTTTTTTTTAAACAAGAGCACAAGTTTACTTTTGTTTACTTTTCATTAGTTTAAATCCTTGAGGGACACAGTATCACATGGATTCTGTGTCCAGCGGCCTTAGCAGGAAGATTCCTTTAGAATTTGGCACGAACCATGCTGCTGTTTCTGTGTCCAAGTTATCTTTCCCCAGATTACTCTGGTTTTGTTTGGTTTGCTGCAGGAGCTACTGTGGTGTTCTTTGCTTTGTATACCTAAGCACATCTCTTGCCCAAATAGAATTCAGTTTCATCTTGGGCATAAACCACCTTCAATTTTAAGAAGAGCTGTGTGCTGCCCTTGGTTCTGGAGAACCCACTTATAACCAACAAAAATGGCCTGGGACCACAGTTTTCTAGACATGTTTCCTTTTAAAACTCCTATTCCCAGCAGGTCTCCACAGGCTCCAAGATGGCGGAAAGAGAAGCAGCGTTCTCTATTGCTTATGGGAGTCTCTGAGGAATTAAGATTTACTAATCAAGATGTGCTATTCAAGTAACAATGTTTTAGTCAAATCCTAGGGTCAAATGTGCTTGTTCATTATCTAACTTATCCTTTGTTTTTAGTGTTCTCCATGGCCCGAGATCACATATGTCAATAATTCCCCATCACCTGGCTTCAACAGTTCCCATAGCAGTTTTTCTCTTGGGGAAGGGTAAGTCTGGGAAATAAAATTGGCTTATATTTGTCCAAAATATGTATTCTTTCATTACCTGTTCATAAACAAGATCTTTTTAAGTCAAGTACATCTATTTGGTCGTTCTTTGATGGATTTATATATTAACTGAGATTTGGAGTATCTTCGAAAAAGATTGAGTTTTATATAGCCCTTTCTTCTCCTTGTGTTCTCCCCTCTCCCTCCTCCTCTTCTTTTTTCCCCCCACTAGAAAGTAGCATTTATGGTCAATTGTTAGTGGTTCAGGGACTGATGATCTGGGCTTTTTGCCTCTCCCTATTACTGCACATCTTGTGGTTATTTCACTTCCTGATCATACTTGCACCAGATTTGGGAACTGGAAACAATTGTACAAACACTAAAATTTGTTTTGTTACTTGTTAGGAATACTTCTAACACCTAATTATTACAAATCTTTGATAATGAAGAAATAAGTTTGAAGATGATGGCTAAAATGAAGTTTTGGAATTATTTATGGGATACATTTAATCTTGCCTTATTATCTTTTACCATAAGAGATAATTGAAAGTTGGTACAGACACTTACTCCAATTTTAAAAAGTAGCTGTATTATATAGTCCTAGCATTTAACATGTATTTCACATAACCATATTGAAACTTGAAATAGTTAGACTACCAAATGTGTGAGCATATTGTTTGGTTGCAATGTTTGTGTTTTGGATTTATTTAGGCTCTATGTCTGACCTACTTTTTAAAGGATTTAATTAAGGTAGCTTAAATATTCAAAACGTAACAATTAAGAATAAAAGTAGGTATTAGTTGTAGAAGGAATACATATAGCTAGGGCCCTAAGATAAGTTAATTACTAAGTTCAAATACCAAATTTGAATTTTGCAGCTAAGGCTAAAAAAGGAAGAAGATCTTATTATAAAAGAAAAAAAAACTTAACATCCGCATAGATGATACATTCTACTTATAGGTAATTCCAAATATGATACAGAGTTTAAGAGTTGTATTTAAAAATTTTTCTCTTCTCTTTGTCATGTACTTCATACTGGTGAAACTTTTCTTCCATAAAAGTAGGCATTAGGGAAGAGGGATAATTCATAGACAAAGAATGTATAAAGAAAAACTGAGGCTGAGTGCGGTGGCTCACACCTGCAATCCCAGCACTTCGGGAGGCCGAGGCAGGCGGATCACGATGTCAGGAGTTTGAGACCAGCCTGGCCAACATGGTGAAACCCCAATTAGCGGTGTGTGGTGGCAGGCACCTGTAATCCCAGCTACTTGGGAGGCTGAGGCAGGAGAATTGCTTGAAACTGGAAGGCGGAGGTTGCAGTGAGCTGAGATCATGCCACTGCACTCTCGTTTGGGCAAAGGAGTGAAACTGTGTCTCAAAAAGAAAGAAAAAGAAAAACTGAGGGTGTGGCGATAACCCTTAGATCATAAATTAGGCAGCACCAATTTTTGAGGCTGCTTTAAAAATAATTGTTTTTGCCGGGCACAGTGACTCACAACAGTAATCCCAGCACTTTGAGAGGCGGAGGCAGGTGGATCACGAGGTCAGGAGATTGAGACCATCCTGGCTAACATGGTGAAACCCCGTCTCTACTAAAAATACAAAAAAATTAGCCGGGCGTGGTGGCGGGTGCCTGTAGTCCCAGCTACTCAGGAGGCTGAGGCAGAAGAATGGCATGAACCCGGGAGGCGGAGCCTGCAGTTAGCCGAGATCACACCACTGCACTCCAGCCTGGGAGAAAGTGCGAGACTCCGTCTCAAAAAAAAAAAAAAAGAAAGTTTTTTTTTATTCTAAATGTGTGTGATTAAATTGCATTGCATAAATTTTCTTCCAATATTTTTTGTGTGTATGTGTGCATATTTGTGTATTTCCTACAGTAGTAATGTATTGATAAAATTTTTTATCCTGATATTTTTCATTTTATTTTTAAATTTTTTTCTTGATAATTATTCTTTCATAATTTTTCATCTTAGTAAATTTATGGTTAAATATTTTTATGCCATAATTTATCACATCATTATTGATGCCATAATTTATCATTATTGAAATGTTGATATTTTCTTCAGTTTCCTCAATAATAAAAAAATTTTGCTAATGACATAATTTCTCCCACTCCGCATAAAGTATTTAGGTTAAACTAATAGAAAATGAAAGTATTGGGTCAAAGAATAAGAATGTTTTATGAGAGAGCACAGATTTTTTTAAATCTCTAGCTTAAGATTTATTGTGAAGATGAGGAATGAAATAGTGAGCCCCAGCATGTGTCATGGACTCATACTTTCATTTTAAATGTTTCTTTAGAAATGGTTCACCAAACCACCAGCCAGAGCCACCCCCTCCAGTCACAGATGTAAGTCTAAAGTTGAATGTCAGTTACTTGCAATGTCTAGTAATACTTTGATGACTGTCCAATTCAGTAGAAATGCCCAACTTTTAGGGAGTATTACTCATTCATTCATTAAACAAACATTTATTGAATTTTGACTATGAACCAGATACTGTGCTAGGGACTAAAGATATGAAACGAGTAATGCAGGACCCTTCCATTTGAGGAGCTTACAGTCTAGTGGGGAAGAAAAGGATGGAACTCCTTGAGCGTCTTGCATGGTTGGAGAAAGAGAAAACAACTTTCACAAACGAGGCCTGAGTATGGGGTTGTGTGGGTGTGTTTGGCTATGTGTTACCTAATGGGTTGACAGACAAATCTATTTGGTTACCTAAAAAATGCTCTCTCCCTTTCAGAACCTCTTACCAACAACCACACCTCAGGAAGCTCAGCAGTGGTTGCATCGAAATCGTTTTTCTACATTCACAAGGCTTTTCACAAACTTCTCAGGTTAAATTTTGTTTTTCTTTTGTTTTCCCTAGCATGAGATTTTCCTTTGCATTCTAGGGCCTCCTGGTATCCATGGGAGAGTTGTGTGTGTATATGTGTATGAGAGATCTTACTGCATTTTTCTGATGAAATGAATTTCATAGAACCCTTAAGACTTTCTCACCAGTTGCAGCTGTGCTGTGAAATACTTAAAAACAAACACCTTTTAGTTTAAATTCAATTTAATTTAAAAATGCTTATTTCATACAATACTTTTTAAAATGTATATTTCATTTGCAGGTAATCTGAAATTTTCCCCTTGATATCAGTATAATTTATTTCATTTACACAATCCAATTTTATTTAGCATTTTTTGTTGTTGTTTTTTTTTTTGAGATGGAGTCTCACTCTGTCACCCAAGCTGGAGTGCAATTGCATGATCTCAGCTCACTGCAACCTCCGCCTCCTGGGTTCAAACAATTCTCCTGCCTTAGCCTTCTGATTAGCTGGGATTATAGGCACCTGCCATCATACCAGCTAATTTATGTATTTTTAGTAGAGACAGAGTTTCACCATGTTGGCCAGGCTGGTCTTGAACTCCTGACCTCAAGTGATCCACCCTTCTTGGCCTCCCAGAGTGCTGGGATTACAGGTGTGAGCCACAGCGCCTGGCCTATTTAGCACTTTTTGATGTGGTAGGAATACACAAATGAATGAGGCATAATTCCTGATCAAATAGCCCATTAATCATCTGGTGTCCAAAAAAAAAAAAAAGCACCGAAACACAACTAATCAAATCAAAATAAAACTCTGAAAAACCGATAAATAGTTGTGATGCTATAGATAAGTGTTCTGATAATGACAGTAAGACCTTTGTGGGAAGATCTGGTGTTAGGGAACACGTGTGATACATCAGGTAAATCCAGGATTTTTTTTTTTTTTTTTTT